TCTCCCCTTCGAAATCATTTCAAGAATCATCAAAAATCTTACAAGTAAGTATCCTCATACCTATATCATTCCTCTGCTTCTCCGTTGTGCCTTTTGGTGATCTATAGCTTCAAACGGGTACATCCGAAGCTATTTTTTAACCTTCCCGCGCTACTCTTGTCAACAAACAAACGCAAAAAAAGGCTTTTCTTACATTTTCTAACATCATCTAGAATGGCTCCTACTAAAGTTGGTATCAACGGTTTCGGACGTATCGGACGTATCGTCTTCAGAAATGCTATCGAGCATGATGACATCGATATCGTCGCTGTCAACGATCCTTTCATTGAGACTGAATATGCCGTAAGTTGCCGCTACCGGACCTCCCAATGACACCAAGGACCCGAGCTAATTTTTATCCTTCACAGGCATACATGTTGAAATATGACTCCACTCACGGTCAATTCAAGGGTGATATCAAAGTCCTCTCCGACGGATTGGAGGTTAATGGCAAGAAAGTCAAGTTCTACACTGAGAGAGACCCTGCCAACATCCCATGGGCTGAGTCTGAGGCATACTACGTTGTCGAGTCCACCGGTGTTTTCACCACCACCGAGAAGGCTAAGGCACATTTGAAGGGTGGTGCCAAGAAGGTTGTCATCTCTGCTCCTTCCGCCGATGCCCCAATGTACGTCATGGGTGTCAACAACGAGACCTACAATGGTGAAGCAGATGTTATCTCCAACGCTTCTTGCACAACCAACTGCTTGGCTCCTCTCGCCAAGGTCATCAACGATGAGTTCACCATCATTGAAGGTTTGATGACCACCATTCACTCCTACACTGCCACCCAAAAGACCGTTGATGGTCCATCCGCTAAGGATTGGCGTGGAGGACGTACCGCTGCTCAAAACATCATTCCATCGAGCACCGGTGCCGCCAAGGCCGTCGGAAAGGTCATTCCAGAGCTTAACGGCAAGCTCACCGGAATGTCTATGCGTGTTCCAACTGCCAACGTCTCTGTTGTTGACTTGACTGTCCGCATTGAGAAGGCTGCTTCTTATGATGAGATCAAGGAGGTCATCAAGAAGGCCGCCAATGGTCCTCTCAAGGGTAAGAAATTTGTCAATATTCATTACTTTTCAATTTACTAACAACAATGTATAGGCATATTGGCTTACACCGAGGACGATGTTGTCTCCACTGACATGAACGGTGACAACCACTCCTCCATCTTCGATGCCAAGGCCGGTATCTCCCTCAACAAGAACTTCGTCAAGTTGGTTTCCTGGTACGACAACGAGTGGGGTTACTCTCGTCGTGTCCTTGACCTCCTCCACTACATCTCCAAGGTTGATAACAAGCAGTAGGAGATTTCTGCTCAGTATTTAGGAAGTAATCAAGACTCTGACCACTATTTGGCAGAGAATTCTTGAAAGGCAAGCTCTGATATTTAACTCAGATGCGAATATTTCATTAAAATGAATAGTTATTACCGAGTAACGATGAATGCCTTATGATAGCTTAGGAATGGAAACAAAATCAAGAACATCATGTCGTTCCCATCATGTGAGCTGCTTCCATTTATGCGCTATGGCATTAGTTTGGCAAACGCAACCAAAACTTTGCTTACCTGAATGTCGCCTAAATGTTCCATCCTCTTGACCCAGCGTGATTCCAGAGAGTGTACTTCAGAAAGTTGTGTAGAGAGTTCCGCTATCATGGCACCGCCAGATTCCTTGATTGTCCTCGACACATTGATTTAAAGTAGATTCACCCTATTCTTGTACTTTTGCTCCTTTTTATCCTTGGAGGTGGATAATATTGCAGCTCCTGACGTCTAAGCTTAATTATCCAAGCAGCGATTGGTACTTGGTTAATCATGAGATTCTTCATAAGGTTGTGGAGTTCGAGAACTATTGTAGGATGTTTGAATTCTAGTTTAAATATTGGAAAGGAACATCTACATAGAATTTGAAGCCCTTTTTATGAGCGCTGCTAGCCCCGGGGTTCCTTTCAAATAAGAGGTAGAGCGATCGAAACTACCTATAATTTCAGGCCACAACATTTTCGGCTTGGGTGCTTCAACTTAGAATCCATCTCTCCTGCAACTTTAACAAACCATACCTACCCATCCATAACCCTGTGAACCCAACAATATTATATTATCGTTCTCAAATTCACATTCGGCTCAACGTTTTCGAAACTTAAGAGTCATCTAGCATAATTCCCAGGTTCTTAAAGCTGAGAAGTTATTTTTTCTCTTGGATAACACAGTTGCTGTGTTTCCATTCATCATCGTCTCGGTAAGTCTAAGCACTTCAATTCTATTCTCATTTGACAATCATCCACTATACTTCATATCATTATCTTGTGCGGATCAAGTAGATTCAGAGGCCTTTACAGATATAATTGTCTTATATTATCGTACCAAAGAATCCAAAGAACTTGGTGTCTCTATATTGTCATTTATAGTTATGGTCACATGATCCTTTATTCCCTTGACTTACAAATTCACTTCGATCCAAACATCATTGTGGATTATCAAAGTAAGCTGCTGTGGGAATATATTCATTGATGACTATATGTGGCTCATCAATTCAGTCATACATCTCATGCTTGACAGTCATAATAACCCCTGTTGTTGTATACCGGATTCATCCACAATGATCCAGCTTCACTTTCCTATGATCATATTGCTCAACTATTTTGTACTTTTCGGAATTTGATTTTTCTATCATTTTGCTTCTACATAAAGATTTAGTAATCTTCTAACGACTAATAGTTTCTTAGCCTGTACCAGAGAGATCTTCTACTTTTACGATATCACCAAAGACCACTGTATCCCATTCTTGTAGACTCTCTTAGCTGATATTAAAACTGGCTTTTTAAAATTGAGATCGTAGCTCCGGGTTTACATTTGTTTCGGGTTACATTTCTCTAACACTCATTTTCGATTAACATCTGTTCTGTTGACGAATTGGTCAGCTACTAATGGACACACTCGAACCTCCATTGCTGCAACCGAGCAGTGACTTGGTTATGCAGCTACATGATAATCTCCATGGGGCACTTATTAACGGGATGTTGTCAAACGGCAACGAAAATGGTTTTGTTGACCCTAGAGTCTTAATCTCTACAGAAGATGCAGAGATTGCCTATGATAATCTTGAACCCGATGATGAGATGGACTCGTCATCATCAGAGGATACAAAGATTATAGCTACTCCACGCAAAGCCTATCTACCTACAGGGTGCTGTTATGACGATCGAATGAAGTTGCACGCCATCGGAGACTTCTCAGATAATACCCCGCATCCAGAAGATCCTCGACGAATAGAAGCAATAATGAGAGCATTCAAAGAGGCTGGCTTGCTATACACTGGTAGTCCGGAAGACGTTGATAGGATACTCAAAGAGTCACCTACAAAGTACATGTTACGTATTCCAGCCAGAGTAGCAAGCAAAGACGAAATTTGTACGGTGCATTATGCAGGGCACTTTGAATGGGTTGAGTCCTTATCAAAGAAAACATCCGAAGATTTGCGTGAGCTAAATACTATAATGGATGCCGGTCGAAAGTCGCTATATGTTGGACTTTGTACTTTTGAAGCTGCCTTAATCTCCGCGGGCGGCGCAATAGAAACTTGCAAAAATGTTGTCGAGGGACATGTAAAAAATGCCATTGCCGTCATCCGGCCCCCTGGACACCATGCAGAGGCGAACGAGTCGCTAGGGTTTTGTGTTTTCAATAACGTACCTGTCGCTGCTAAAATCTGTATGCTCGATTATCCCAAGTTATGTAGGAAGGTATTAATTCTGGATTGGGATATTCATCATGGAAATGGCACGCAGAACATGTTCTACGAAGACCCAAACGTCTTATACATTTCGCTTCACGTGTACGAAAATGGAAATTTTTATCCAGGTCAACCTGACGATCCTGATCTTCCCGATGGGGGGATTGATAAGGTCGGGACTGGAGCCGGCATCGGCAAGAATGTCAATATTGGTTGGCCCAGTCAAGGTATGGGAGATGGAGAATACATGGCAGCTTTTCAAAAGATCGTCATGCCAATCGCCCAAGAGTTTGATCCGGATCTTGTCATTATATCAGCCGGATTTGACGCTGCTGCGGGAGATGAACTCGGAGGATGTTTTGTAACACCTGGCTGCTACTCTCACATGACACATATGCTCATGTCCCTAGCTGGGGGCAAAGTGGCTGTTTGTCTTGAAGGAGGTTATAATCTAAAGGCAATTTCACGGTCCGCTCTTGCAGTGGCCAAAACTTTAATGGGTGAACCACCAATCCGACAACCAATTCCACCATTAAATCGAGTCGCAGCCGAGGTCTTCGAAGAAGTCAAATACTATCAATCTCCATATTGGGAATGTATGCGATCTGGAGTCATTGACTACAAGGAAGCAAAATTTAAAGGCGCCACCCGCCTGGATGATATTGTTCGGAATTACCAGAGTAATGTACTGAGTAAGAACTATCAGATGGTTTCCCTGTGGGTTCAACGACATCAACTCGCAAGATCGTTTGATCATCAAGTTATGGTCACTCCGTATATAAAATCTGCGACGAGGATATTGCTAATCGTCCATGATCCGTAAGCTCCGTCTTTGTTTCTTTTTACGACGTCCGTTAATTATCATTTAGCCCGGAGCTACTGGCTACTCCCGATCCATTTACAGCTAAAGTCGAGTTGCACAACTCATATCTTGTAAGCCTTTCCCCTTCAAGCTCAATGCCGCCTGATCAGCTAATCAGTTTAGGTCGACCCTGTCACTGAATATATTGCCTGGGCCATTGAAAATAAAATTGGTGTTATGGATATTAACATCCCACTGAATACGGACACCTTTCCCCCTGCCACCGGTGGTTATAATCCTCGCTCGGGTGTCTTCGAACTCGAAAGTCAAATACAAGATTTGGTTGGCTATATCTGGGACAATTTTATTCAACTTTATGATTCGGATAATATCATACTTATGGGAGTTGGCGATTCTTACCTCGGTATTAAACAATTACTCACCATCAGAGATTGCCGTCCTCGTATCGCCGGTGTACTAGCCTTCATAACTGGTAGCCTTCGACCCGTCAAGAGCGAAACGGATTCAACTCTGAGTAGTTGGTACAAGTCAAATAGTGAAATTTACGTTGCTGATAAACATGCTTGTTGGAATGACGAGGAAAGCATTAGAAAGGTAAGGAAGCAGCGCTTTGGGAATGTGGTGCGTAGTGAGGAGACGGGTTTGGTGAAAATGTTACAGAGGCATCAATCAAGTGCCAAGTCGTGGATATTAGGAAAGTTTGAGGAAAAAGCGAAGGATGATGAGGTGATGACTATGGAAGATGAGGTGTCTGTGGCCGACGTCGATGGTGCTAAGAAATTAACCATGGGGGATATGCAATTGATGTGAACGGCTTGGGTCTGAGATATACAGTTTGTGAGTCTGGAAGGGCGGGGACACATGTACGGTTATGAGCTAGTTCAACTGAAAGGTCAGGAAGAACTCAGAGTAGTTACCAAGTTTGGTCAAATGAATAAGTGCAGCATATGTAGAGAGACTAGACTTTTCGAAGTATGCAATGCTATTGGCTATTGCATCTCTTTGGGAAATTTCTAGCTATTATGGCCAATGCAAGATAATTCAAATGATCGTCACATATATTCCTTTTTTAAGGTTGGTAATGGAATAGTTTGAAGGGTTGCACGAAATTCAGTGATGTTTTCCCTCATACTACGGGTATTACTAAGCGAAATGATAGACATCAATTGTTACGTCCTGACTCAATAACAAACTTCGTCTCTGCAACCACACTCACCATGATTTATCAATCGCCTTCCAGTCGCGTCAGACTGTCACTCTCAAACAGCAGAAGCTCGAAAGATGTTGCTTGCACTTTCTATAGCCCCAACGTTGGGGTGTTCCGAACCTAGGTCCTTATAAATCTGTTGCCGTTTGGTGGTTGTTTATCTACATCCATCATCGCGGTCCGCGCCTTGCAGAAGAAGACCACTATCTATCACATCCAGATAAAGCTGTGTTTATTTATCAGAGTTTGTGACGATAGAGATCGAGGTGGAGAGGTAAAAGTAGCTGAAAGTCAACATCAATTGACAGAGGGCTCTACTGGAGCAGTGAGATTGTCCATACACAAGAGAGGTGAGCAATGTTTTGGCCCGAACTATCATCTTTGCACAAGTACTGATAATCTGCGAAGAGCCTCAGAATATTTTTATCATTGAAACCAAAGGAAACGGACCAAGAACCTACCATCATCATGTCTATCGCGATGCTCTCAACCGAGCTACTACAGAGGATATACGAATACTCTGACTTGATTGATATCCTCCATCTATCCCAGACTTCCAAAAGAAATTACAATGCGCTGCGTGGACGACGTTTACCCCTCCTAAGACAAGCCTTGGATGATGAATACGGTCCAATACCTAGTTTGGTGAAGTTGGTAATAAGCGATGATTCAACCAAAGGTAATAGTGTTATCGGCACAGAAAAACGTCGAAATGCTACCCTGGATCGTATTCTACAAGTTCCAAGTGAGCCCTACCTTTCTGTCCAGCTACTAAGCAAGATGGTTACGCTTGGCAGAGTTGCGTCCAGATGGGTCGAGATATTTCCACAGTTTAGATGGCGCCTTGATTACCAAAACAGGAGATTTCTATGGCCCCATGAGCAGAGGCGGTTACGGCGGGCTGTCTACAATTATTGGACTTACAGCAATCTATTTCATGATGATATCTACACCAAATTCAACCCTGATCCTCCATCTGGCCGCTCTGCTAGTTGGTGGAACCCTGCTCCTCCTCCACCCGATATCAGTTCTGATCCTCGCCTTCGTCTGATACAATCATTTACCACAATTGAGATCGTGCAGCTTAATGAATTTCTACAGCATGTGGTCAAGCTTATCGAGCTAGATCTTTATCCTTCAGACTCAACCATACAAGCTCAACATAATTTTACGTCCAAAGCGGTTGAGAAGATCGCTTGGGGAGATGGAGGTCAGTATCGATTTCTTGTGAAAAATCTTCTTCGATATAATCCTTTGGATCTCGTCTACCTCTACGACCAAACCTTTACCAAATTGGAAAGAGCAGAATATATGCATGCACGAGGCCTTGGTTTTGGCATCAATATCAATGCTCCGGCAACTTTAGACGATGCCATAGCCTTTATTATTGAGAGAAGACCACGCAGTGATATCGCATATACGACACATCATTTCCACCATGTGATGTATCAATCTCGCAATTTGTGTATACAGGGAGAAAATGTGAGGTTTGGCATAGCTCACGAGGAGCATTATTCGAGGGATCACCCATTCAACAATGATGGGGCGATTATTCTCTCGACTGATGAACATGAGTAAAAGTCTCAGGCGGATTAGTTACATTCTTGTGTTATTCAAATCAACTTGCTTCCGTGTTATTTACTTTTTCAATATTGAAACCACGCGCGCTTTCTTAACATGATTTGAGATTCAAACTGTATATGTGCTTCGACCTTTAGTGAATGGATGGTGGATTGAGAAATTGAAATAAGTCCGTATAAATTTCAATACAGGACACAAGATACAAGAGCAGATAATATCTATAAATGTCAATGTCCTTATCGTCATCAAAATTTAAACACACACTTGGACTGACCTTAACGCTATTACTGCATGTGGATTTTGTTCAAGTCGGGCTGAACCCTCTGATTGGGTTGATTACTTAAATCCGATTTACACTAGCGCGATTCTAGAACACCACTTGTTTACAGCCGCCACCACACAAGTCTTGGAATGATTACCCTGGGGCCCCTTTCCTCGTTAATATTCTTTAGCTTGATGGAAAATTTTGAGGTTCATTATATGCTGTCATCGCCTTTCAGAGTTATGTCAATTTTTATTTTTATTGCTTTTGCAATCATATCAGCTCTCTTAGAGACTTGAATATTAAAGTATTATAACGAAGGTCGCTGACGTCCCAGTTTAACCAGCTTAGCTTTCCATTTATCCTGACGTGTTGGCCTTTTTCTCTGCCCTTGTTTGTGGACTTTCATGCAATCTAACAAGACTTCTACGAATCCCATTTCTGGAACCAGATAATCAGCCGTGACTTGGTACTTCTTGACTTGGAGAAAGTTTCTCCGACATTTAGTATGGATCATCAAGTCAAATTGGGAGAAACACGTGCAGGAAATGCAAGGAAGCCAAGGCGGAAAATTGTCGATTGGATATCAGAACCAACTAAGGTTGAACTGACCCCATTTCAACAGTTCACTCTCGATGCTGATTGGGAGAGAAGTCCGTTGGGACCAATGAGTGGATGGTCAGCACAGCTTCGCTCTATGGTGCTTTTGTGTTTTTCAAATCCAAATCCGGTGAGCCTTCTATGTCTTCTACTTTATTTCTGGCTTCAAGATCGCTTTTGTTATTGTTCATCCATTTAAGATGTGAAGAACCTCGTGACTGACCAAGTGGAAAGGCCGTGGTCATGTGGGGAGATTACAATGCTATCGTTTACAATGAACCATATGCTCAGATTATTGGACATAAACACCCTGCATTACAAGGTCAGGATCCAAGTGTTGCATTTGCTGAGATTTGGGACTCTCTCGACCCATTAATTGAAGGAATCAAAGATACAGGCCAAGGATTTATTCAACATGATGCTCTTTTTTTCCTTGATCGACGCGGCTTTGAGGAGGAAACTTATTTTAATTATACATACCTACCGGTCGTTTGTGATGAAGGGTATGTCATTGCTACACATGCAACAGTCAATGAGACCACACGCCAAGTTCTTGCTGATAGACGAATGACTATCATTCGTGCTCTCGGCGAGCGATTATCTAATGCTAAAACCATTGGTGATCTTTGGAATCATTTGATCCATGGCATTGAGTTCGCCGAGAAGGACGCGCCTTTTTGCTTCTTGTATTCAGTTTCCGAATCATCTGAAGCATCAAATATACTTCCATCAACAGTACCTTCGCCATCCATGCATTGCGTTTTTGAAGGTTCTGTTGGCATACCCGAGGGTCATCCCATTGCACCTTCAAGCTTTGATGCAGCATATGATCAAAACTGCCTAAATAAAGCATTCAATCAAGCTAGGAATGAAATGAAAACTATCCTGGTGCCTGTCGACTCCGAGATGAAACAAAATTTTAGCGGAATAAAGTTTCGAGGATTTGGCGAACCAACTCACATAGTTGTTTGCCCAATAATGGATTCTGAGAAACAAAGTGTGCTTGCTTTTCTTGCTATTGGATTGAATCCTCGAGCACCTTATGATAAAGATTATCAAGAGTGGATACAGATGTTGTCACAGCAGGTTACGACTCCTCAAGTGTCTGCTATTATACTCCGACAGGAAGTCGAAAGACGTTTAGCACTTGCTAAACAGGAAGCGTTAGATCGGGCAATTTTGTCACAGCAACTTAACGAGAGTGAAACGAATTTTGCACGATTTGCAACAAGAACCCCTGTTGGGCTCGCAATATTAACTGTTGATGGAGTTGCCCTGACAGCAAATGACCTATGGAAATCCCAAACGAAACTGGAGATTGGAAGCTCGCAAGTAAATTGGGAAGAAGTCTTAATGCCTGGAGAATACGAACGTGTGAGGAAAGCCTGGTCGCAGATTGTTCATGAGAAGAAGCCTGGCACTTTTCAAACGCGAATTGATAAACCATGGAAAGCTCCGGAGCTGAATGCTGATGGTGAAGAGCAGTGGTCAGAAACTCATCTAATGCTTGCTTGGTTCCCAGACCTTGACGAGGAAGGTAATGTTTCTACAATTATGAGTTGCATCACAGAAATCTCCGAATTGAAATGGACGGAAAATCAATTACGAGCTAGAATGGAACAAGCTTTGGAGATGAAGAAGCAGCAAGAAAGGTTTATTGATATGACCTCCCATGAAATGCGTAACCCGCTGTCTGCATTGATCGGCTGCGCCGATGAAATTCTCTCCTCGTTGCACGAATACAAAAACGCGATGAAAAGTTTCAGTAGAGCTAGAAGAATCCGCGAATTGTTGTCCACCGAGTTACCAGCGTATCTAATAGATGATGCCATAGAAGCTACAGATACGATTATCTACTGTGCCATGCATCAAAAGCGCATTATTGACGACATATTGACTCTTTCCAGGTTAGACAGCAATCTTCTCGTCGTATCCCCCGAAGCTTCTCAACCAGTGCATATCATTCAAAGTGCTCTCAAGATGTTCGAATCCGAACTCAAGCAGGCCGACACAAAATTAAATTTCATCCAAGATAATTCTATTAAAGATTTGAAGGTACATTGGACCTTATTAGATCCAAGCAGAGTCCTTCAAGTCCTTCTAAACCTTATGACCAACGCCATAAAATTCACCCGCACAGAACCAGTCCGTCAGATAACAGTCACCATGGCTGCCTCTCTCTCAAAACCTTCTTCCCAAAGATCTATTGTCGAATATGTACCTAAACGACGCGAAAGTTCTGATCAAACCGTTAAAGGCGAATGGGGAAATGGCGAAATCCTTTACATTTCCATCACCGTTACGGATTCCGGTCGAGGTCTCTCAGAAAAAGAAAAAGCAAACCTTTTTCATCTGTTTATGCAGGCGTCCCCAAAAACTCACGTACAATATGGCGGAAGTGGATTAGGTCTTTTTATCTCGAGACAACTTACTGAGATGCAAGGCGGGGAGATTGGTGTTCATAGCGAAAAAGGAAAAGGGAGCACGTTTCAATTTTATGTTAAGACGAGGAGGACGTCGCCGCCGCTTGATTTGGAAGCTGCGGAAGATGGTATTAAGAAGGATTTACAAATGACGTTGAGGGAAGACGCACTGAGGGAGGCGTGTGGATTCGAAATTTCGGGATTGAGTCATGATAATCTTATGCATGACCATAGTGAAGTGACGGTGAGGGATAATGATGCGAAAATACCGATAAGGCCATTGCCGGTTAAGAAGACAAGCTTTGGGTTGTCCAGTCCGAATTTGATGAATGGGATTGAGAAGGAAAGGGGTGAAGGTGCAGAACAGGAACAGGGACATGGAAGGCAAGAGGAACAGGATAATCAACTACAAGTACTGGTTGTCGAGGATAATTTATTGAATCAAAAAGTGTTGGTTAAGAGTTTGAAAAAAGAAGGGTTTGGTGTTAGTGTTGCGAATCACGGTGGGGAGGCCTTGGAATTCCTCAAGAAGACAAAATTTTGGGTTGGTGATGGTGATAGTAGGGAGATATCGGTATGTGCTTCTTAATAATCTCTGTTTTCCTTCCTGTTCTTTTCTTTTTGGAATATCAGCCGGGGACAAGCATAAAGGTCGAATCGAGAATTGGTAACAGGAAGAACTCGAGTGAAAGATCACTAACACTCATTTTTGATTCAGAAAAAGCAACTAAACCTCATATTAATGGATTTAGAAATGCCAATTATGGATGGTATTACATGCGTAAAACAGATTCGAGCATGGGAACGTAGAGGGGCGGTAAGAGGTCATGTGCCAATTATTGCCGTAACGGCTAATGCGAGAAAAGGTGTGTGATTTTTTTTGTTCTTTTTACTTTGACATATTTTTGGACGTTGGAACTGGAAACTTGCGGACAGGAGAGTGAGAACTGAGAACTGAGAGCTGATCATCTATTCTATTGATGAATAGATCAAATAATGAGCACGATAGATGCGGGAATGGATGATGTAACGACGAAACCTTATCGTATTCAGGATATGCTGGGTCAGATTGAGAGATTGGTTATTAGGTATTCTGAAAGCGGGGGTGGAAGGGGAAGTAGGGAGGAGATGGACTCTGGTACTTTGAACGAGAGTGTGAGGATCCTGAGTGAGGATAGAGGTATGGATAGGGAAAGTGAGGATAGGGTGAGTACGGGTAAGAGTATGGGAATGGGTATGCAAAGTCAAAAAAAGAATACCCGGAAGAAAGATAGGGACACACAAACACGCAAGGCTAGTACTTCGACGACATCAACATCTACAACCAAGACTCCGAATACGAATCCATCAACCGCAAGTCCTTAAATCCAAACATCCCAACCTCAAACACAAAAACACAAAAACACAAAAATCAACCCTCCAACTTCGAGTCTTTCAATACCACCACAAAATGGGATATCCGATTCTCCCCCTCTTTAACCAATTAACCCTATCCGATATTGATATTTCCAACACATTTTCTTTTACTTCTACTTCTACTTTTACTTTTATAAGTACATCTATTTACATCTACATTCAGCGGGCGTTTTCAATTGGTATTCAAGGATTCCCGGGGACTGGATTTACTGGGAAGCTGGGGAGTAAAGCATACGCATGGAATGGAATGGATTAAATGGAGTTTTGAGCACATTATTCTTGTTTTAGCACAGCACATCACATTACAGCATAGTAAAGCATGGTATAGCATGGTACACGCATGGATAGGTGTTTTGGGGATATGATATGATATGTTATGATATATGTATTCATTTATTCAATAGTGGTTATTTGATTCATTATTTCGTTTGTTTGGAGTTGTGTATCTAGATAGATACCTAAACTAGATTATAGTCTTATTCCTTCATGTGTCATGTTTCTTCGTTATGCGTTGATCGCGTTTTCGTAATTGGTATGATATGATGAGATGAGAGAAAACATATAACATGATTTGATATGATATGACAGGCTAATGTTGATGAGATCAGAAAATGATTGTGGTTACATTTTTAGTATGGAAATTCAAAAAAAGGGAATTGGAAGAAAAGCATGAAGATGAAAGAAGAAGTTAAAAGTTAGAAGGAAGAAAAGAAAAGAATAAAAAGAGGAATGAAGAAGATATCATGACAAAGTTTTCAAATCGAGAAAATAAAGTTCGAGAAGAATAGATGCCGCGCGCGGGTAATTAGATGGTGAGAGTCTGCAGTAGTGGTTTCTGTGCGTTGGGATGTTAGATTTGATGCTGGTGGTGGGGTTGGAGTTTGAGAAGAGGAGAGATAGAAGA